GTGTAAGAATTTCGTATGTTGCTTCGCTTACTCGTTTATTGGAGAATACATGTTGTTGTATGGTCTGTGCATATATTCGAGGAGTCCCAGTCTATCTAGTCCCTTCATCGCTTGGCCTGGAGAGATAGTTGATAGGCTGGGGGCGATGAATGTCTCTCTCAAGCTTCGGGGCGTCTCAGTGCATGTACGAGATTGAATTTTGGCTAGTTGTGTCGTCACATAGTGGGTTTGGCGAGCGCGTGGGTGGGTTTTACGTATTTGTGTTCTGTCTGCATGTTGGAGAGATTCGTATGTTTTCCGGGCTGGTGACCCAGTCCCAGTCTACACAGACTTTTGCCGTTATGGCGCTGAGTACCAACTTATTGGGGGGGTCGCACGACCGTTGCCTGGGGAATAATATAGCGTGGAGCGTTTTCTTGGTGTGCTATTTTGATGGCGTTTGTTCCTTGTTTGCGCGTCGGTGAGCATGCCTCTGTTCCTGTCCCACTGAAAAGAAATAGCAAGTTAAAGCTAAACGAAATTGTTTGTAACCTCGACTGACTGGTTGATGAGTGGAAGGGAACGACCGTGTTCCCTTCTTCGGCTATGTTTCATAGCTGCTATTATTGGTTGAGCTAATATTCGCCTGACTCGGACGACATTTTGTGGGTCTGGCTTTTTTGTGCTAGCTTCAGATCCGATATTAGCCTTGCTCTTAGCTTTGGAGTTAGTCGTATCAGGGCACCTTGTGGGCTGATGGCTTACTTCGCCCGTTGGGGTCTTCGAGTTCAAGTCTCAATCCAATCCAGTCCCGAGTGCGTGAAGATATGGAAACCTCGGCCACACCACAAGCACATGGGCAAAAGGATGAGGTTACAAAGAACGGGAAGTAGAACTAGAACCGAGTTTAGATCTAGAGGAAACTAAAATTCTGGCTAGGAAATCCCCACAGACGGCGCCAAATTGTTTGACCAAAAAGTTTTAAGCCTTTTTTGTTAAATCAATTAAATAAGAAGATTTGGGAAAATCCTAGCCAGAGTTTGTGTGTGTGTTCCTATCATCCCCCCTTTTGTTACTCTCTCCCATGATATTTATACAAAACACTTTCCTTATCCAGCGGTCCTTATCCGGAGTGCCTAAATTCTTGGAATATCCCGTATAATATTCCTCTAAAATGTCTAAGTGTTGAACTAGCCGTTCGGGCCGAATTGAGTACTCGACCGTAGCTAAATCATTCGTTGATATATTGCTTCCTATACGTGACTTCGGCTTGGTTGATTCTTGGTCGTTCTTCCTTAAGCAGAATCCTTTTGATGAGATTTTGACCTATACAATGTAGAATTGTGGACTCATATAAGGATATTGAGTAGATACATCAGATTATGCGGGCATCATTTTTTCTTTATACAACAAATAACATTCCGAAATCCGAATTACTTATATTGAATTTAGGAAATTTTACATGCTATAGCTAAATAATGCACCCTATTTCTTAGGCATAATGGCTTCCTGACCACTTAAACTTGTAGGGCTTTTGAAAGCCGATACACAAACTTTGGACCTTCCCATTTGAACACTCTAACTTGTATATTTGATAACTAACAAACATATTTGACCGTTAACCATGTACATGTGGCAGTGACATAGGTGATATGGACAAAATATGTGCAAATCACCTAAACTAAGCGCGTCACTACAATAATTTTGATAAAAAAAAATCTAAAATAAAAAAAATACAAAGAAAAAGAAAGAAAATAAGCCCCTGCTCCAAAATCACTAAACCCCTATTCCCCTCTCCACATCATCTTCTCCGAACAAAGTCACCGGTTGTTTCAGAAACCTAAGGCGGCGAATCACCTCCTGTCGTGGAAGGTTTCAATCATCGATTTTTGCTCGTCGGTTAGTGCTTTGGAAGCCGAAGAAGATGATGAATCCTGCTTGAGGATTGGATGTCGGTTTTGGAGTTTTGACAAAATGATTGCAACAGTCAAGCATCGGCGAAACCAACAATGACCAAAAAATCCACAAATTGACGAAATACCAGTCAAACCATAAACTCAATTGAAGGCAAACTACAATAAACAGTCCAATCCTCAAACGGAAAACCAGCAATAACGAATAGCAAAAGTATCAGCAGCGAGTGACATAGCCCTGGCCTATGAACAACGACCGTGTGTGGTCGCCGAAAAGTTTGTAAAATCGGCCAGATCTACAGATTTTCGGTGAGCAGCAAAAAACCCAATTTTGTTAGAAGTGAAAATGGTGGATTTTATGGAAGTTCATGGCTGATTTTGGTCGGTCTATTGATTAAAGAGGGGGGACCCCAATCAGGTGGGGTTTGTTTTCGCACCCTTGACGTGTAACAATATCATTGGTCATTTACTGGCTGGATGGATCATTTGCTGACTGTATGGACACGTTTGTGTATATGTAATACACGCGCATAGGCTCAAGGGTCAGGAGTGTTTATTAGTTAAGGGAATTTTGAGTTCGAGTGTTCAAATGGGAAAGTCCAAAGTTTGTGTATCGGCTTTCAAAAGCCCTACAAGTTTAGGTGGCCAGGAAGCCATTACGCCTATTTCTTATAAACCAACATACTTTAAAAATATTATTATTTATAGCTATTTTTTATATTTTATAGCAAAGTACGAATATATACAATTGATCTCTCAGTTTTCCCCTCAACCATCTCTCTTCTCCCTCAAATCTCTCTCCCTTTTTCATCTCTCTTCAGCAAGGCTACCGTTTTCCTCGCGACTCACCGCCACGGCTAGATCTGTTCATATTTCCGGCGACTTTGCTTCAGAATTCTAAGAGCTCAATCCGTAGCCATGGCCAAATCTGTTCTCCTACTCCCTCTTCGCTTCAGATCTATTCTCTTCGCTTCAGATCTATCCATGACGCGATGGAAGATTTGATACACCAATTTACTCAAAAAAAATTCAGATCTATGTATCATTTGAAAAATCAGAGGCGGGATGGAAGATTTATGGGCATTGGTCATTCTTTTTTCTTCCAAACCCTAAATGTCCTCTAGTTTTTCCTAACTGTAACTACTTGTAAATTCAATGGCAGCTTTTGTTTAATGCCACTATTTTCCTTCTCCATTAACAACTTCCACCAAACCCATCAAACATAAGCCTTCCCTCAATTACACCTATTTTGCAGCTTCTCTTAATAAAAAATCGATCCACCATTTTGATGAGAACGAGAATCGGAGCCGAAGAGGGGTGACGAGCGGCAAAGGAGTTGGATACACTTTAATATAGTAGCATAGATCTTAGTCGTCTTCTTCGACGACTTTATCTTCTACGGTGGACGATTGTACATTATATGTATAGCTCTGGGTGTATGCATCTTCATTGTATTTCTTTGTATGCGAGAGAAAATAACATATAATTTTCTTCGCTTATTTGCTATCGAGCCACATACTATGATACAAATACATTATATTTTGTACAAATACACTCAAATACAATGTATTTCTATACAAATACATTGAATTTTTGCCTGTATCTATGTATTCCGAATTGAATACGGTGAATTGAGAATGTATACAACCGAATTGAATAGAGCGTTATACACCATATTTCTCGATGTTTTGTTGTTTGAATACAACAGAATTCAATACAGTGAAATTGAATACAATTCAATATTGCACTTTCTGTTATTAAATACCCGTAATTCCTATTTTTAGGCGGGACCTCAATTGTATTTATAAATGCGGTCACGCGAATACATAGAATACAGAATTACACAACTGTAATCCCTATTTTATAGGCAGATTATAAATACAGTCGCGCGAATACATGGAATACAATACAATAGTAACGAAATTGTAGCTACGACCAGTAAATATGGATATTATAGCTATAGCACGTTAATAGCCACTTAACTATAGTGGTTTCTGAAAATTCCTCTTGAATTTATGGGGTGAAATTCAAAAATAGCCAAATTTACAAGTGATAATTGAAAAATAGCCATAATTTCAAAAGTAATCAAAATTTAGCCACTTTTCATGTAAAGATAAATCTGAGCGAAAACACTGTTCAAAATTCAAAAAATATTCTAGCATAATATACTGGAGTTCCAGTATAATATAATGGACTTCCAGCATAATATATTGGAGTCCTAGTATAATATACTGGTCCAACATAATATGCTGAAAGTTCATACACATGTGCTCCAATCTCCAATATATTATGCTGGAACTTTTCGTGTGTTGGAGTTCCAGCATAATATGCTGGAAGTTCATACACAGCTGTACCAATCTCCAGTATATTATGCTGGAACTTTTCGTGTTGCAGCAAAATAGTGGCTATTTTTCAATGACTTTGCAAATGATGACTATTTTTTAATCACCAATCTGAAAACTGGCTAGCCCGTGCTATTTTGACGAATTTATGGGAAGATTAATTTTGTGGGAGAAATTCAAAAATAGCCAAAAATAGCTCAGTTTCAAAAGTAATCGAAATCTAGACACTTTTCATGTAAATATAAATCTGAGCAAAAATACTATTCAAAACCCGGAAAATACGCCAGTATATTATGCTGGAGTTCCAGCATAAGTATACTTGAACCCCAGCATAATATGATGGAGTTCCAGCATAAGTACACTAGAACTCCAGCATAATATACTGGAGTTCCAGCAAAGTATACCGGTCCAGTATAATATGCTGGAAGTTCATACACAAGTGCTCGAAGCTCCAGTATATTATGCTGGAACTTTCCGTGTGTTGGAGTTCCAGCATAATATGTTGGAAGTTCATACACGGGTGCACCGAACTCCAATATATTATGCTGGACCGGTCTCTGTTGCAGCAAAATAGTGGCTATTTTTTATTGACTTGGTAAACGCTGACTATTTTTGAATGACCAGTCTGAAAACTGGCTAGACCGTGCTATTTTTACTAATTTTGTTTGTGTGAAGCATACTATTCCATGGGCCTTGGCCCACAAATCTGAAAGCCTCAATTAGCGCGCACAAAAATCAAACTTGAAATGAGAAGAATCCCAAAACCGCTCTTTCATTTCATATTCTCAGTTCTCTCTCTCTCTCTCTCCCCCCCCTACCCCCCCCCCCCTCTAAACATCGATGGCGTCGTCGCGCGATGAGTTTGTGTACATGGCGAAGCTTGCGGAGCAAGCCGAGCGGTACGAGGAGATGGTAGAGTTCATGGAGAAGGTCGTAACCACCGCGGACGGCGGCGACGAACTCACCATCGAGGAACGTAACCTTCTCTCCGTAGCATACAAAAACGTGATCGGAGCACGACGTGCCTCGTGGCGGATCATTTCCTCAATCGAGCAAAAAGAAGAGAGCCGAGGCAACGAAGATCATGTGACCTCTATTAAAACTTACAGATCTAAGATCGAGTCGGAGTTGACCTCGATCTGTAACGGTGTCCTCAAGCTGCTCGATTCAAATCTCATCGGCGCTGCGTCAACCGCAGATTCTAAGGTGTTTTATTTGAAAATGAAAGGAGATTATCACCGGTATTTGGCTGAGTTTAAGACCGGAGCTGAGAGAAAGGAAGCTGCTGAGAATACTCTTTCGTCTTACAAGTCCGCTCAGGTTTGCTTTTGATTTTTTATTATCAGTTGCAACAAATTCTCTTCCTGTTTTATTTAAAATTTATGAAAATTTATGCAAATGCTGGGAAATAATATCCGGTTTTAATTTCGTTATTAATTGCATCAAATTTTCGTCCTGATTAGTTAGAGATACAGGAAAAATATGCAAATGTTGAGAAAAATATCTGGTTTTTGATTTCATTAGCAATTGGTTCAATTCTTTGTTCTGATTTATTAAATGATGGAGAATTACGCAAATGCTAAAGAAAATTTTGGTTTTACATTGTATTGACGTATGAAATTGAAATATTCATCTTGTTCTTTTTAGGATATTGCAAATGCGGAACTGGCACCTACACATCCTATTCGATTGGGGCTAGCTCTCAACTTCTCTGTATTTTACTATGAGATATTGAATTCTCCTGATCGTGCTTGTAATCTTGCCAAACAGGTAAACAAAAAAGTCATGATTTATTGTTTTAATTTGAAAAAAATAGTAGGAATTTAGATATCTTACTTATGGTTGTGTTCATATAAAAAGGCCTTTGATGAGGCGATCGCTGAGCTGGACACATTGGGGGAGGAGTCCTACAAGGATAGCACGTTGATAATGCAGCTTCTTCGCGATAATCTGACTTTGTGGACCTCGGACATGCAGGCAAGTTCTTTCTATTCTTTTGTTAATGAGATTGTTTCTTTAATCCTTGTGATGATCGTTTTGCTAAGTCATGTGTGGTTTTTTTGCAGGACGAGGGAACAGAAGAGATGAAAGAAGTAGCAAAACCGGATAATGAGGAGCACTAAAAGTGGTGAAAATCTTTAATTCAGGATCTGAATACCATGTTAAACTTTGCTCATTGGTTTACTTAAGCTCTTTGCAGTTCTAATTCCCCTATGATTTGTGAGACCTAAAAATTGTAAGTTGTCGTTCATTAAAAGAAAGGTCCAGTGTTGTGCATCTCCGGCGTTCTGTTTGTATGGAGAGGAACATGGGGAAGTAGGACGATTTCACTTGTGTTCAGTTCTGATATAGGATTTCAACTTGTTTGCTTTGGGTCATGAGTTCAAAGATCATTGTTTATCTCTGCAACTCTCCAGTATTTGGATGCTTCTTTTTCCTGATTGGAATGATCAATTGAGCATTTGTTCTCCATTTAAATTTACCAATTTCATTGTCTTGTTCACCATGTTTACATAGTGTTTTGGCTTTAGTCTGTGATGTAAGTTGGATATGGTAAAGCCCATCCTACAAACCATTTCGCCCAATAACCAAACAGATTTTCCTTTCCGCATTCTCTTGATGGCTCGAACTATGGATATGTTTGACTAGGCATGAAGTTTAAGAAATAAAGACTTTTGAAACCAGTGGTCTAAAATAATCCATAGAAATTTGTGGCTAGAAATTATCTCATTAAGGGTAAGCTTTAAAGCTGCAATTGATTTGGAAGCAACAAAGATGCAGGCGCTATGATTTATTTCTTTCAGCGAACAGAATACTCAAAAAGATTTGAAATAACTATTTAAGTGAAATTATTATCATGCACTTGGTGTTATAACATAGAATTGACATTCATGCTTAGATTTAGTGAAGCTAATACTGAAGAATAAAAGAACAACTGAGTAAATAACACACTTGTAAGTGTGCAATTTCTTGTCATGTGATAAATGAAGAATATATGCATAGTATTAAAACTTCAAAACTGAAAATAACTATACCATTCCAAGTTGTATCTAAAAAACGAAGGCCTAATATTGAGGACACCAACTCTTAGAAATAATACTATTCTCTTCCTACTATGACTTCAATCAGTATCTGAATAATCGGAGAATTCTGTTCTTGGTGTTCCAAAATCGTCTGAGAAGGTAGATGAGGATGCTCTCCGATGATGAAATACCTGTTTTGGTGCCTCAGCCTTTTCTGGATCCTCATCTTGAATTTTTGCTTCTAAATCTTCCGATTCTTGTCGATTCAGCTCAATAGGTCTGACGAAAATTTCCTTGGCTACTTGTCCAATCTCTCGAGCAAGAAAACAAAGTCTTTCCTCCTTTTCAGCTAGGGAATCTTTGAGTTGAAAATTTTCATCTTTAGCTAGATCAGCAGCAGCTTTTACAACGTTCGCTTCATTTATAACCTGCTTCAATATGTCCCTCAATTTGTAAATTTCTTCCCTTGCAGCTCTAGTCATATGTTTAGCATCTTTAAGAGACTTGACGAGTCTTGCAGTCTCCTGCTGAGCAAGAGTTTCCTGTTTTGCTTCATCCAAAAGCTTTTGGTACCTAGCCTCAGTGTTTCTGACCATCTGTTTCAATCGTCTTGCCTCATCTTTTACTTGTTCTAGTTCTAATTGAGAAGCACTAAGTTTCTCCTTGGCCACAGTAGCTTCGGTTTGGCTCTTTTCTTCTGCATCAGTTGCCAATTTAAGTTCTTTTCTAAGCAAGAGCATCTCATCACTCAAAGCCTTGGCCTTTGAAGAAGCATACTTCTCCTTTTCTTCGGTCTTAGCCAAATTTGCCTTCGCCGATCCAAGTTCAGACCCGAGCCATCCTAGTTCCTTCCCATGGCAAGAACCATCACAATGCCTGCTAGTTTGCTCGAACTCCTTTGTCTTCAATACCAATGAATCGAACATTTTAGACTCGAACAATCTTCTACTCTCTACTTCAGCTTCTAGTTCATGAACCCTTTTCTTGAAATTGGATAATAATTCCATGGCCTGAGCCTCATTCCCTTTTGCAGTATTCAATTCCCCTTTCAATTTTCCTAAACTATCTTCTTTCTCTGCTAACCAAAGCTGAAACTCTTTTGCTCTCTCAATCTCCAAATTCAGAGAAAAAATTTTCTTACATTTAATCTTCAATTCTTCTTGAGTATTAGACTGTAATTCCCTCGAAGTCCTTAGCTCTGTTAATAGTTCCCCAGTTGCCTTCACACGCGCCTCATTAGCTACCTCTTTCATCTGCCAAATCTCCTCCTCAAGTTTTCTCATTTGCTCTTCCATGATAAACACTCTATTAATAGGATAGTCTGCAAGCGAAAACAATATACCAATTAGTCGGGATTAAGTTTTAGTCATGTTAGTCGTTCAAAAATAGCCTAGTTTCAAAAGTAATGAAAATTTAGCCACTTTTCATGTAAAGATAAATCTGAGTGAAAACACTGTTCAAAACCCGGAAAATACGCCAGTATATTATGCTGGAGTTCCAGCATAAGTATACTTGAACTCCAGCATATTATACTGGAGTTCCAGGATAGTATGCTGGAACTCCAGCATAATATGATGGAGTTCCAGCATAAGTACACTAGAACTCCAGCATAATATACTGGAGTTCCAGCAAAGTATACCGGTCCAGTATAATATGCTGGAAGTTCATACACAAGTGCTCGAATCTCCAGTATATTATGCTGGAACTTTCCGTGTGTTGGAGTTCCAGCATAATATGCTGGAAGTTCATACACAGGTGCACCGAACTCCAGTATATTATGCTGGACCGGTCTCTGTTGCAGCAAAATAGTGGCTATTTTTCATTGACTTGGTAAACACTGGCTATTTTTGAATGACCAGTCCGAAAACTGACTAGACNATATCAATTATTCCCCCTCCCCCCCTCGCGCGCTCTCTCTCTCTCCATCTCACATTCTTTGTTCTTTCCCCAACCCTATTTTTCTTTCTTTGATTTTCTATGTTTTTCTCTCTTTTCTCATCTGCTTTATCCTCTCTTTTTTTCCAGGAAATTCATCAATAGGTATCAATTGTTTTATTAGAGTTTTAACTTAATAATTTTCTTTCATGTTGCACAATTGGTGTTCGAACAAAAATTATTAATCAATAAATTTTGAAGGTGTTTGACTCTCCACCATTGATGACCATTAAAAAGCTTCGAAGCTTTGAATTCGAATTTGGATTTTTAAAAAATATTATTTGTTTGGATTGGCTGTTGTTGCAAACAATTGAGAATATTTTTTGGAGTTTATATCTCAATTTTGAGGGTGTTTGGTGAAGATTAGAGTTTATTTTAGCTGGATTTCAGATTAAAACTCATCGACGAAGAAGAAGAAGAACGTATGATATTCAATATACATACAAAATTATATTAAAGTTGTATTATAATTATATGTAAATTGTATTTAAGTTGTATTCGATTGTAGTTATATTTTTTTTTATTTGAATGTTATATGAAAGTTAAAAAAATAGTTGTATAATGTATCTATCATCGTATAAAATTTATATTTAAGTTATAAATATTATCTTTTTACATAAAGTTGTTGATATGTATCTAAATTGTATTAAGAGAGGAAGTTTTGATTGAAATTTCAGAGAGGAAGAAAAACAATACATACAAAAATATACAAAAGACATATTTGTATAAAATTTGTATTTAAGTTATATGATGTTGTCGTTGTATTTAACTTGGTAAAAATGATGTATGAAAGTTGTAGATAAGTTATATACTATATAATTATTAGCATAAATTCATTTTTAGTTTATATCTTATTGTAGATGTACAAAATTTTGTTTTTAATTTGTAGGCGGCAGAGAATAGAAAAAAGAGGAGAGGAGAGAAAAAAGGAAAAATGTGTAACCGAATCGCCTAATTCAAGGTACTAATAATGGATTGTATATGGAGAGAGCCAGCAGAGAATAGGAAAAGAGGAGAGAGAGAAAAAAGGAAAATAGGGTAACCGAATTCTCTAATTTAAGACACTAGTAATGGATTGACAGAGAATAGGGGAAGAGGAGAGGAGAGAATAAAGCAAAAGAGTGTAACTGAATCACCTATTTTAAGACACTAATAATGAATTTTATATAAATCGTAAGAAAAATAAAGTTAGGTCGGATAATATACAAATAAAAGACAATTTTAATGAACAAATGAAATTTAAAAATAGCTAGATTTACAAGTGGTCGTTCAAAAATAGCCCAGTTTCAAAAGTAATCGAAATTTAGCCACTTTTCACGTAAAGATAAATCTGAGCGAAAACACTGTTCAAAACCCGGAAAATACGCCAGTATATTATGCTGGAGTTCCAGCATAAGTATACTTGAACTCCAGCATATTATAATGGAGTTCCAGGATAAGTATGCTGGAACTCCAGCATAATATGATGGAGTTCCAGCATAAGTACACTAGAACTCCAGCATAATATACTGGAGTTCCAGCAAAGTATACCGGTCCAGTATAATATGCTGGAAGTTCATACACAAGTGCTCGAATCTCCAGTATATTATGCTGGAACTTTCCGTGTGTTGGAGTTCCAGCATAATATGCTGGAAGTTCATACACAGGTGCACCGAACTCCAGTATATTATGCTGGACCGGTCTCTGTTGCAGCAAAATAGTGGCTATTTTTCATTGACTTGGTAAACACTGGCTATTTTTGAATGACCAGTCCGAAAACTGACTAGACCGTGCTATTTTTACGTGTTTTTAGTCTTGTCAGAGATATATGTGGCAATAGAAAACTTAAAAACCTTCTACTGCTAATATTTGATTGAAACGTGCTTAAATAGAGCGATATGGACATGATTCATAATCTTGACGGCAACTTGCTTGGGATTGAGGCGTATATGATTTTTTATCGTCTAAAAACAAACGATGAAAAGATACCAAAGTTTTTGAATGAAAACCATTATCCATATCACACCAAGAAATCACTTCCCAAAAGAGAAAAATCAGGAATCAATTTGTATAATTCCCTAGATAAAATTGAATAAATAAAAGTATGAAGGACAAAGAGAAGGATTAATACCTTGGATGGATCTCTTTCAAGAAAAAGAAGGGCGTCTTATTCTCATGCAAACTCAATACTCGAGAAACAAGATACTAGCACTCCTATTTATAATAGTATAAAATCTACTCTTATTAAAACTAGAAAACTTATTTCAATATTATTTTGATTACAACTAATCCTATTTAGATTTGAATTAAAAAAAACTAATAAACACCGAAATTATAAACAATTTAGGTTTTCTACTCTAAAGTTAGGTGTAGTCCTATGATTTTGAACGTAAATATATAAAACCTTAATTCCGTTTTTTATTTTATTATTATGTCTTTACTTTGACTTCGATTTTTTAATATTACATTGTGTATTACGAGGACATACAATCTAAGGCGTACAAAGTACATGAGTCAAAAATCTCCTATTGTTGCCTCACCAAGCAAACTTTGCCAACTCATAACTAAAGTCTAAATTATTAAGAATTGAGTGATCAAAAGCCAATTTAAGCATTGGGGATTAAATATTGAAATTGTTGGATCTTGATCGATTTTATATGTTAGTTTGATGCTTTAAGAGGACATAGAATGACTGTCATTACATAACTCGACTATAAGTACGTATCTAATACAAGTGCCTTAATCGGTAAAAACTTACTTGCCGTAGGTGTTTACATCAACCCAATAAATATACGGTAGATGTCGCTACAACCTATTGGCTATTGAAAACCTCAACCCAAGCAAAATTGCGCCTATTAAACGCGTCTCCCACAACCTTAAGGTACTAGATGGCATAGCCTAGCGGTTAATAAAGTGGGAATGACGGGGAAGACCATAGTTCAAATTTCGTTAGAGGTGAGAAAATCCGCTAGTTGATTTCTTCCTATCAGTTTAGGCCTTGATATACCTATGGATTAGTTGAAGTGCGCATAAGTTGGTCCGAACACCACCATATGAAAAAAAAAAAAAAACCATTTCAGCTTTATGATATATTGGTCAAACCGGGTATTAACCCCACACAACAAACAAGTTAACAATCTAGGAGTGTGAAGCTTGATGCCTGAGTTATTTCTTTCAGTAACCAGAATATGCAGAAGTGTTTACAAATTACTATCTAAAAATGAAATTATAATCATGTATGTACATGGTGTTATAACATCGAACAACATTCATACTTCGATCTAATGAAGCTAATATTGAAGATTAAAATAACAATTTGATGATATAAAAAATTGGCAGGCTGCAATTTCTTTGCTTCTGATAAAATGGAGCATTTTGAAGGGAAGCCTTGGGGTAACTGGTAAAGTTGCTGTCATGTGATCAGAAGGTCATGGATTCGAGCCGTGAAAACAGCCTCTTGTTGCTTACAATAACCCTTATGGTCCTGTCCTTCACCGGACCCCGCGCATAGCGAGAGCTTACTGCACCGAGCTGCCCTCCTGATAAATGGAGCATTTTGTATGCAACATGAAAACTTCAAACACTTAAAATAACTGTACAATTTCAGGTTGTATATACAGAACAAGGGCCTACTAACTGGATGGTTCCCTCTTATGGAAACTCTTCCTCCTTATGAGGTCACCAACTCGTCGAAACAACGCCTTTTTCCTCCTCCTACTACTAGGACTTCTACCACTATCTGAATTATCAAGATGATTATAATCTGGATGATCAAAATCTTCTGTTCTTGGTGTTCCAAAATCATCTGAAGAGGCAGATGAAGACGCTCTCCGATGATGAGATGCCTGTTTTGTTGTATCAAATATTGACCCCTTAAGTGCCTCGGCTTTTTCAGGATCCTCGTCTTGAATTTTCGCTTCTAAATCTTCCTGTTCTCGTTGAAGCTTCAGCTCACTAAGTTTGAGGTCATAACATGGAACCAGTGACTTCTCCTCTTCTTGATCCTTGTCTTCAGTTTTCAGTGAAGACGAAGATAGCAACCGTTTTAATTCCTTGACATTTTCATGAGCTGCAACTTCGTTAATCCTAAGGCGTTCATTCTCTCGCGTAAGAAAACAAAGTGATTCCTCCTTTTCAGCCAGGGCATCTTTGAGTTGAGAATTTTCATCTCTAGCTAAATCAGCAGCATCTTTTGCAGCGTTCGCTTCATTTATAACCTGTTTCACTATGTCCCTCGATTTGTAAATTTCTTTCCTTGCTCTTCTAGTCATATTCTCAGCATCTTTAAGAGACTCCGCGACTCTAGCAGTCTCCTTCTGAGCAAGAGCTTTTTCTTCTTCAGACTTTCTGACCATTTGTTTCAATTGTCGCGCCTCATCCTTTACTTGTTCTAATTCCAATTGAGAAGCACTAAGTTTCTCCTTGGCCACAGTAGCTTCGTTTGCAACTTCCTTCAATGCTAACGCTAAATCATCCAACGCCTTTTGGCTCTTTTCTTCTGCATCAGTTGCCAATTTAAGTTCTTTTCTAACCAAGATCATCTCATCACTCAAAGCCTTAGCCTTTAAAGAAGCAAACTTCTCTCTTTCTTGAATCTTATCCAAATTCGCCTTCGCCAATCCAAGTTCAAACCTAAGACATCCCACTTCCTTCGCCAATGCATCAACAATCTTCCCATCGCAAGAACAACTCACGTGCCTGCTATTCTGCTCGGACAAAGCCTCTAACGATTCAATCTTCTCATGTAGGGAAGATATCTCAATCTTAGATTTTTCAAGTTCAATCTTAGTTTGCTCAAACTCCTTTGTCTTCAATAACAATGAATTGAATATTTTAGACTCGGATAATCTTCTATTTGCTACTTCAGCTTCTAGTTCATGAACCCTTTTCTTAAAATTGGATAATACATCCATTGTCTGAGCCTTATTCTCTTTTGCATTACTCAATTCTTCTTTCAATTTCCTAAGATGAGACTGTTCTGCTCTCTTTATCTCCAACTCACAAAATTTGATATTGTTTTGTTTAATCTTCAATGCTTCTTGAGCAGTATCAATATACAATTTCTTCAATGTCTTTACCTCCTCCTGATGTTTTCTCATTTGCTCTTGCATGATTAAAAGTCTATTGATCCAATATTCTACAAGCAAAAACAAATAATAATAATAAAAATTCTGACAAAAACCATAATCCAAAATTACACCAAAAAATCACTATCATGAAGAGAAGAATCAAGAATCAATTTGTATAATTCCCTAGATAAAAATTGAATAAAGAATACGAAGGATGAAAGAAAAAGTTTTTATATACCTTGGATAAATGGTCAACCTTGGAGAGATTTATTTCAAGAAAAAGAAGGGTGCTTGAATCAAATTATGGTTCTAGAGATATTTCTTGTGTGCAAATCCCTCAAAGTTGCTAAAGAATCAATATATATTCTCATGCAAACTCAATACTCAATAAACAAAGACCAGACAATATAATTATCCATGAAACTTTAAGGATAAAGCATGAAAGGAAACAAATATATCCGAGAAAACCTCTGTACTTCAAAGATCATCGATAGTACATACAACACTTTGGAAAATATCGACAGCCACTAAAAATGAGTCAGAGAAAAAACAGTTGCGCGCCCAAAAGGTGTAGGTCTAGAAGGATTCTTTCTTTTGTACACTAACAGAATTTTTAGTGTTATGTGTGAGAGAAACAAGATGTGGTTTTGGGACGTGGTGTGTACATAGGTCGGGTTGGTTCGAATTTTATAATTACCAAACCAAACCAATTGTGTCGGGTTATTACATCTAAAGATCAAACCAAACCAATAAAACTCCGGTTTTTCAGTCTCGGGTCTTCGGGTTTTCGGATTTTTTCGGGGGTTTTTCCAGAAAATCTTCGTAGAACAAAACATATAACTTGTGCTCAAATTATTTTTTAAATCCTAGTACGATACAAATATATAAAGTATTTTCCAAGAAAATAATACAAAATATGAGATGTGTCATGGCATTATCCTAAAATATTCAACAATAAAGACAATAAAATTATGTAATATAAATATTGCTAATTAAAAAGCCATAATAAATAATAAACATAATCTAAAAGAACTAAATCATGCTAAAATAAGTAGATTAATAAGGGAGTATTAATTACATGACTAAACGCTAAAGAAAAAATAAAAATAGGTTATGCATTTTGATCTAAATTATTGCAAAACAAAAAATAGATATTCAATACATTCATGTTCGTAGTATTCAATTGAATGTCTTTTGTTAGTATTAGTATTGATTTGATTTTGGTTTGGGCTTTTGTTAGCATTATTTAATTTACTAATATTATGTTAGATCTGATTTTAATAATGTCAATAATATATTTGTGTAGGAAATCAATCAGCCAAAATTGTGGAAAGCTGCGATGAAAAGAATCGTGTGAAAGCCTGAAACTCAGGCGTCAATCAGGGCCTACACATTCCAGGAGCAAATCAAGGAGATTCGTTGATCTGCCGACTTTGGAAAAACCGATAATCAAGAAGCAAATCATTGTCTTCAACGGCTGAAAAAAGGAAGTGATCAAGAGCTGCCAACTATGGAAGGACCAATAATTAAAGAGCAAATCTTCATCAATGACTGAAGAAGGAAGGCAATCAATCTTCTCTCATCAAGGAAGAGCAACGGCCAGAAATCTTATTCTTGGAAAGAATCAATCTCTTTCCAAGGATCAAATCCCTTGGGTTGCTGAAATCACGTCTGCTCAAAGTCTTCACCAAAGTATTTATACTCAGTTTGCAGCCTTAGATAAATATACTTTCATCAAACCAAAATTCTCTCTTTATTCTACTACAAACAAACATTGTGGCTCATTGAGATCTGCTGTGTAACAAGTTATAGAAAAAGGAGAGTATAATACTGGTGAGGCATTGTATCAAAAGAAGACGAGTGTTATAGGAACTGAGCTATCACAACATTTCTACTGTACTCAAAGAAACGCAATTACTAAAGAGAACTCCCTTGCAACCCAAAGGGACTGGACTAGGATTCATATTGAATCCGAACCAGTATAAAATTCTGGTGTCTTTAGATTTCTGCACTTACTTTCTGTATATTATATTCTGCCATTACAACTGTTATTTTATTGCATCAAGTCGACTAATTGGTAAATCAGTCAACTAAGAGTCTAAGTTTAAAAATAGCACAATTCACCCCCCCCCCCTCTTGTACTTTCAATTGGTATCAGAGCAAGGCTCACATTCTACTCTTTTGCTTAACAGCTTGTGAGAAAAGATCATGGCAAATCAAGTCATCATTAGAGCTCTTTTCCAGGAAGGAACTTCACAAGTTAGACCACCATACTTCAATGGTCAATATTTCTCTCACTGGAAAGTGCGTATGGAGATCTTCGCAAAGGCCTATGACGTTAAAGTTTGGAGAGTCATCATAAAGAAAAACTATCCCCTGCCTACTACTACTCCACCACTTGCTGATCCTGAAGATATAGATTCATATACAGAAGAGCAAATGGAAGTAGTACAAGTTAACAATAAGGCAAGAAATTTGCTGCACAATGCTATAAGTGGTGAAGAATATGAGAAAATCTCTAGTTGTGATACAGCCAAAGAAATGTGGGACAAGCTTGAGGTTACATACGAAGGAACCAGTAAAGTAAAGGAAACACATATCAATATGTTGGTTCATGATTACGAACTTTTCTCTATGAAAGAAGGAGAATCTATTGAAAAAATATTTGCCAGGTTTAGCAAAATAATTGGTGATCTTAAGGCATTTGGCAAGCCATATACTAGTGGTGAACAAGTCAAAAAAATTCTCAGAAGCCTGCCAACCACTTGGCAGACCAAAGTAGTCACACTTGAATCGTAGGATCTAAAGAAATTGTCATATGATGAACTATGAGGAGAACTCATAGCTTTTGAAAGGACGCATCTCAAGAATACTAGTCAAGAAGAGAAAAAGAAGATAGTTGCATCAAAGCCTCAAATGAAATAGCAGAAAACGAAATCGATGATGATCCTGAAGCCCTACAAGAAGAAATCGCTATGCTATCAAGAAACATGGATGGGTTAATGAGAAGATCTAGAAACACAAAGAAAGGAAGAATGCCACCCAGACGATCCAGACAATACAATGAACAGGACAAAAATGATGGAAAATGCTATGAGTGTGGAAGATTTGGACATATTCAAGCTGAGTGCCCAGAACTAAAAAGAAAGATTTCTAGAGGTTTTAACAAAAACAAATCCTTTGGAAGCTGGAGTGATGAAGACAGTTCAGAGCACGAAGAGATAGCAAATCTTTGCTTTATGAAGATTCTGGAAGATGAGATGAGCAAATCCTCAGGATGCTGGACAGATGAGGACACTTCAGACGAAGAAGGCAAGGATGATAATGAAAATTGTTTCATGGCACGAGGTGAAACAAGTGAGGTAAGATCTTATGACTGTGAAAGATGCAATGAATTACAGGATATTCTTGATTTAACTCTAAAAGAATCTCAAAAAATGATGAATGAGCTTAAGAGACTAAATAGAGAAGTTAAAGACCGGAAACTCAAACACGAAGTATGTGAAATTGAAAAAGAAGTACTTCAAGAAGAGTTTGAGGAATTGCAAATGCAACTTAATGGCATGCGCAAATCCACCAGTCACAGTTCTGTCAGGTCAAACCAGGCGACTTACAAGTCAACTGAAAAAAGACCAGCCAGTACAAAGTCCACTAGTACTAACACAAATGAAAGACCTAAAGGTAGGTCAGATCTCTCATGTCACTATTGTAATAAAAGTGGGCACAAATATTCTTTTTGTCGCTTTTGTAAAGCTAACGTGTCAAGATGGGTTTGGAAACCAAAAAATAATTCCGAACCTAGTAATACTAACCATCCAGGACCCAAGCAAGCTTGGGTACCTAAAAGAAAGTGATCATTATGTTTTGCAGGAACACCACAGAAGAAGCCGCAAAGGAAAATGGTATCTAGATAGTGCGTGTTCCAGTCATATGACAGGTGATAAAAACCTGTTCAAAGAAGTTACAAAAATTGATGGAGGAAGCGTTAAGTTCGAGGATGACTCAAAAGGTAAAATAGTTGGTACTGGAACAATTCACTTCAATAACAACTGTGACATCACTGAAGTATATCTCGTTGATGGACTCAACTACAACCTCCTGAGCATAAGTCAACTATGCGACTCAGGATATGAGGTAAACTTTAAGAAAACGGGTTGTGCTATAGAAGATGAATCAGGTAAAACAGTCCTCCCCGGTAAAAGGTATGAAAATGTTTATATTCTTGATAGTTTTGAAAAGATAAATGGTCATATTTGCTTATCATCCATGTCTGATGATCCATGGTTATGGCATAGGAAACTTGGTCATGCTAGCATGCATTTGATAGAAAAGTTGTCCAAACATGAATTAGTTGTTGGCTTACCCAAACTGAATTTTTCTAGAACTCATATCTGCGATGCATGTCAAACTGGTAAGCAAACCAGAAACTCTTTCAAAAATAAGGACATTGTATCTACTTCTAAACCTTTGCAACTGCTCCATATGGACTTATTTGGTCCTACTAGAACTGCCAGTATAGGAGGAAAAAGATATGCTTTTGTTATTGTTGATGATTATTCACGTTTCACTTGGATAATTTTCTTATCTCATAAAGATGAAGCTTTAAGAAATTTCGAAATCTTCTGCAAAAAGATTGAAAGAGAAAAGGGATATCTGATTTCAACAATTCAGAGTGATCATGAAGGAGAATTCGAAAGTAGAGCATTTGAAGATTTCTGCAATGATCAGGGGTACACTCATAAATTCTCAGCACCACGATCACCACAGCAAAATGGGGTTGTAGAAAGAAAAAACATAACCCTCCAAGATATGGCAAGAACTATGTTACTCGATCATTCACTGCCAAACCACTTCTGGGCAGAAGGAGTAAGTACAGCATGTCATATTCTCAATCGATGTCTCATAAGGCCCATTTTGAAGAAGACCCCCTATGAATTATGGAAAGGTAAACGTCCAAACATCAGTTACTTTCATCCCATTGGAAGCAAGTATTTCATTCACAATAACGGTAAGGACAATCTTGGAAAATTTAATCCAAGAAGTGATGAAGGTATTTTTCTGGGTTATTCATTGAATAGTAGAGCCTTTAGAGTTTATAAGAAATGCACATTATGTGTAGAAGAATCTGTACATGTTATATTCGATGAAAATAATCCCTTGGTCGAGAAAGAAACTACTGCAAGTGAAGAAGATCAAGCTCAAGAAAACCAGGAGACTAGCAAAACTCAAGAGTCAATTGATACATCTGCTATGATAGAGTCGACTAATGCAATCAGCAGCAGTGTACCAGATCATCCAACAGAGTCGACTACAAACATCGTACGCCCAAATGAATGGAGAAGCGAACCCAAATATC